GAGTGTTACTGACTCTTGTTTTCCAACAAAGCTTTGCTGATCTTGCAGTGTAAGAGAGTGTTACCGACTCTTGTTTTCCAACAAAGCTTTGCTGATCTTGCAGTGTAAGAGAGTGTTACCGACTCTTGTTTTTCAACAAAGCTTTGCTGATCTTGCAGTGTAAGAGAGTGTTACCGGCTCATGGTATACAACAAAGCTTTGTTGATCTTGCAGTGTAAGAGAGTGTTACCGGCTCTTGGTATACATTTTGTTTCAGAGACAGACTATCAACCTGTGACTGGAGACGTATTGAAACCCAATTCTTGTGTCTCTTAAGGTAAAATATCAAAGACCAGAATAGTAAATATTTTTACTTCTGCCTTTCTGTGACTTGGGAAGGCGATCAACATAGGCCCAAATTTTTAGGAAAAAAATTGCCCAACAAGCAGACATGTGTTGGTTTCTTCGATGTCATCATATTGATGAGTGCCTGATTTTACAGCAATGGTACACATGTATAGAAATGTTTCCGTCATATGCGAATGTTTTCCTGCCAATTAAAAAGAAAAAATTGTTTTCTTTTTGTGATTTCAGCGAGGGGATCAGCGTGTTTCCAAAATCTGTATTGGCCTTTTGGTGGGCGCTTGGCTGTTTGCTGCTATTGCATTGATTGTGACATTGACGCATACAATCACCTGGCTGACTTACCTCTACTACTTCTCCTACATCAAACTCGGGGTCACTCTCATCAAATACATGCCTCAGGTCAGTTGGTTTGTTCTTTCCGTGTTCTGTGTTCTGTGTCCGTGTTCTGTTTCCGTGTTCCGTGTTGTGTGTTTCGTGTTGTGTGTTCTGTGTTCTGTGTTTTGTGTTCTGTGTTCTGTGATCTGTGTTCTGTGATCTGTGTTTTGTGATCTGTGTTCTGTGATCTGTGTTTTGTGATCTGTGTTCTGTGATCTGTGATCTGTGTTCTGTGTTCTGTGTTCTGTGATCTGTTGTTTGTGTTCTGTGTTCTGTGTTCTGTGTTCTGTGTTCTGTGTTTTGTGTTCTGTGTTCTGTGTTCTGTGTTCTGTGTTTTGTGTTCTGTGATCTGTGATCTGTGTTCTGTGTTCTGTGATCTGTGTTCTGTGTTCTGTGATCTGTGTTCTGTGATCTGTTGTTTGTGTTCTGTGATCTGTGTTCTGTGTTCTGTGTTCTGTGATCTGTTGTTTGTGTTCTGTGTTCTGTGTTCTGTGTTCTGTGATCTGTTGTTTGTGTTCTGTGATCTGTGATCTGTGTTCTGTGTTCTGTGATCTGTGATCTGTGATCTGTGTTCTGTGTTCTGTGATCTGTGTTCTGTGTTCTGTGATCTGTGATCTGTGTTTTGTGATCTGTGATCTGTGATCTGTTGTTTGTGCCCCTGGCTGTAGGGCAGAAAAGAGGTAAAGACAAATAAGGAAAGACCTCCTACCTCCAGTTTATGGAAAAAGTAAAATTCCACAGGGTTTACAATTTCATGAAATAATACTTCAAAGCAGAGACTTTGGAAGATGGAGGTGTGTTGTGTGAAAGAATGAGTCACCAACGGAAGAACGCGGCTAAGGTGACCGCTGACTGATTGAGAAATCGTGAAATATCTCCTTATTTTATTGTGTGCTATCTTTGTTTTGGTAGCTTTTTTCTGGTCCTTACTCTTCCTCTACAGTCCTGTCTTGAATATGTGGCCTACCTGTTTTACCGGAGAAAAACCCAGTTGTCCTTTCCCGGCCTGCTCCAATACTTTTATTTTGTTACACAGCAACGGGTAAATAACTTTCACAGAAAGAGGGAAAAAAAGAAAACAATATCTGTGTGGACTTTGCACCTTTTGTGGAGCTGATGCATGCACAGGCCGGCACATAAATTCTGTCACCACTTGAGAAGTAAAGGAAAGAAAACTTGTCCTAACACAGCAATGTGTTCTACAGTTGTGTATATATATATATATATATATATACACACACACACACACATACATATATACAATATTACACGGACAAGTGGAACAGAGAAGACTGGAAATCGCGCTTCTGTCGAACTGTGCCTGGGGTACCGTTTTTTTACTTCTTGTTCCTGGAACTACCGAGGCCTGTCCTGACGAATTCGAGCTATCTGTGTGATACGTGTTATACTGTATATTATTATGTATCCACTGAGATGCTCTAACAGGCCGAGACAGAGAGCATCTACGCTATCCTACTGCATTCCCTGTTCCGGTGGGCCGGCCATGTTCACCGCATGGACCACTCTGGCGTCCCAAGGAGGTTACTCTATAGTGAGCTCACTTCAGGCAAATAGGCCCTCTGTGGATAGAAAAAACACTTCAAAGATGTGCTGAAAGCATCACTGAAGCGATGTGACATTCCCCATAAAAGCATCACTGAAGCCATGTGACATTCCCTGTAAAAGCATCACTGAAGCGATGTGACATTCTCCGTAAAAGCATCACTGAAGCGATGTGACATTCCCCATAAAAGCATCACTGAAGCAATGTGACATTCTCCGTAAAAGCATCACTGAAGCGATGTGACATTCTCCGTAAAAGCATCACTGAAGCGATGTGACATTCCTCGTACCACGTGGGAAGACGAAGCTGCTCGTAATCACACAGTTTGGCGCTCAGTAAGGTTACAGGGGTCGCTATGTTGGAAGAAAGATGCATCAGAGACAAAGAACGGAGACGGCAGTCGAGAAAAGAATACGAGAGCCCTCCTTTCCTGTCTTGTTCAGCCCCACACATCCCCTGCCCCCACTGCAAGAGACAATCAGGCAAAGATTGGCTCGGCCTGGTCTGCCATCTCTGCGCACATCCCTCCACCTCACCCCACCTCTGTCAAGTGATATAAAGTCACGGTCGTCTTTGCCAACGAAGGACGGACATCACACATATATGCTGCAAGTACACAATTCTCTACTGTCCTTTGGTAGGTATTGAAAGTGTTGACTTAAGACTCTTTGTATCCAATCCCAGGCCCTCATGAACTTCCGCCGTAAAAGCACTGTGGGATGGAGTATTGGCAACGTTTTGCTCGACTTCACCGGAGGCTCGCTCAGTTTGCTGCAGATGTTTCTCCTTTCCTACAACAGTGGTGGGTGTTCACTTTGATTTTATTTCACCTTCTGCCTCTCTCTCTCTCTCTCTCTCTCTCTCTCTCTCTCTCTCTCTCTGTAT